GGTGCCGAAAAGGCCCCATGTACCTGGGAATCTCATTAATACATTCATGCGCGGCATTTTCTACCATAAGAAGATCATAGTTAACATGCTTATCCAACTCGAACTACCATCCCGCTCAAGATGAATGTTTTATGTAATATACAACAGGCCCACATTTACACACAGACACACACAGACACACACAGACACACACATATACAGACACACACACACACACACACACACACACACACACACACACACACACACACACACACACACACACAGACACACACACACACACACACACACACACACACACACACACACACACACACACACACACACACACACACACACACACACACACACACACACCTCCAAGTCGTCATCAATATCTATAAATGTCTTTGATATCATTACCCATCCAAAGCCGAATATACATTTATTGTGCTTTCTTGACAACAAATGTACTTTTTTAGGTTGAGTCCCGTCCGGGATTTGAACCCACACTGTGAGTGAGGCACCCAATCGCCAGCACATGTCGTCATGGAGCTAACCCAGCCACCGAGGCTTCCACCAAAAATAAAAGTCCGACAACTGTTAGTCCAGATCATGTATTTTGTGTTCCCCTCTGACAAGTGGAAAATGGCACGGCTCCCATGTCCGAAAGCTTTGAACACACAATGCCATTAAGAAAGTGGTCAACTGTAACAAATGTTATATTTGGATAACACTTTCTCAGTAGAGTACAGATTTGGAGACTTGGGGTTGGGGGACTTTGTGTGCCGGTGTAATGAAGTATTTGGAACCCCATACTATTTGGACCTGAACCCCCCGTTACTTCTTTGATAAAAAATACATAGCAATTGGACCCCCCATCCCACAGTACTATCGCTTTTCCGTGGATAATTTATATACATGTAGTATATGCGCCTTGGCAGAATTCGAACTTGGGATTAACTTTGATCAGTGCCGAGCGTTTTAGCCACTTTGCTGGTATAAATCGCTTGGGTCCAAATACATACAGTTGGGTCAAATTACTATGGGGGCCCAAATGCTATGGGGATATAATTAGTATAGGAGTCCAATTATTTTAGGTCAGGGAGTCCAATAGCCACGGAAGAGCCATAGTACTTTGGGATGGGAGGTCCAATTGCTATGTATTTTTTATGAAAGAAGTACCGGGGGGGTCATAGTACTATGGGTTCAGGTCCAAATAGTATGGGGTTCCAAATACTTCATTACACCGGTTTTATAGTATTCGCCCAATGAGGATAGAATGGATACCCCATCCCATGTATTTTGGTATGTCGCGACCGGGGATCCAACCACCGACCTTCTCTTGGCAGAGCACTTGGAGGATTTCACCGAGGGGATGTGGCTTTCTTACAGAATAGTCAGAGAGTTAAGTCATTCAGTTTGTTGTTTACCTTCATCAATGAGGGTGAATGTATACTATTACGGTTTCTTCAGAATTTAGACTTTATGTCCGCTTACTAAAACAGACTTTCAATACAAATTTTGAGCGTATTCGAACGACGCTGATTTAGAATTTAAATGACAAGCTATACAATCATATAGGCCTGTAAACCGGTGACTCTCGGATGCATGCAGCACGGCACAAGAATTTGATACAGAATTTGTGGAGGTCTACACTCAAACTCGTGGGCATATGTGGGCAGAGCAAGACAAGGGAAGTAACTGTGTCTGTACGTATGCAGTTTTTCTAAAGATTGAATTAACGTTTTGTTACGAGTTGGGTGCAAACATCGCTCAAAATGGAACCATATCGCCCTATATTCTACTTCTACTATTATTACTACTACTGTTACTACTACTGCTACTACTACTGCTACTACTACTACTACTACTACTACTACTACTACTACTACTACTACTACTACTACTACTGAGCTAGCACTATAAATCGGCATCGGTCCTGACTAGTACACGTAGCCACACAAACATACACACGTACATGCACGTCGCTATATAAGTGCAGTAATCTTGGACGCGTTGTTAAACCCAATTTCACCTCACCTCATCTCACTAAAATACAGGAACAAAAAGTTGTATAAATTGAATCTTTATTCATGACTTTGTGCGACGAGTTGAGCATCTTGTAAATGTATGTACACGGACAGAATAACAAGTAAGAGTTGATAGATAAAAAAACAAAAACTAATGTGTGTAACAAACAAAACCAGTTGAACCAAAAACATGTTCACAGGGCGATAGTTTAAATAGAAGCACAAGTACACATATATACGTGTAGGATAAATGTATGTGATTTGGATGAGGATAAGTATTTTATCTAACCTCTGAACCGAAAAACATAATCTGAAGCAACATTTATCAACAATTTTATGTAACAAACAACTTTCCAAGAACTGAGAAGATGAGATTCTTAAAAGCATTGTGGTTTATCAGATGCGAAGGTTTCAAGTTCAATCCACGAATACAGTTATCATTTGGTGTTACACCATTCTGCACATTTCCTTGTCTACACTGTGCTCCAATGCAAAGTAAATCTCTAGTGAGGGACATTCACATCTTACAAAATCACCGGAAGTTCTAAATACATAATCGCTGGGATATTGTATAAAGTCCCATTATAACGTTTGTGAGACTTAACCCGATTGGAGAACAATCGGGAGGTTTACAACAATAGATAACTAAGCATAGTCATCATAATAAACAAACATTGTATGTAAACGATCACAGCCCAGTTCAGGTATTTTCAGAAACTAAACCTTACCAGATCGCCAATTGATCTAAGTTAGTTTAGTCTCAGATAACCTACAGTTTGACATAGCCAAGGCATACAGCTACAGCGCAAAAGCCCCAATTAAGACTTAATTGGTATGATTGGAGATTATTTCTCCCTGCACAGCCTAATTATATCAATGGATAATATGAATGTAGCAACTTTGAGATTATGTCTTGTTTATAAAAAGTAGGAATTTAGACGAGGGCCCTATTTTGCCCACTGAAAATGACAAATTTTAAAATAAATATTCAATATGCTGTGGGAAATCTTTTTAAGATTTGGACGTCTACTGGATCCAGTCCAGAAGCTTTACCGCCTTTTCATCACCAAAAAGAAGATTCATACATATACTACTTCATTTACTTGCAGTGTAACTGAACTCTGTCAACCATTGATATATTATATATGATGGATGTACAACTCTCTGCTCAAATACCACCGAAATATCCATGCATAGAATGTATCTTGCCTCACCGCCTGAATATTCATGCATATCTTCTCACAACTCCTTGATTTTCATGCGTATCTTCTCATATCGCCTGAATGTCAGTACAGATCTCCCCACATCAACTAAATATCATTTCATATCTTACCATTTCTCCTGAATATTCATGCATATCTTCCCATAGTTCATAGATATTCCAGCATATATTTCCAGATCAGCTCAATATTTGAATATATATTATTTGGGCTGACACATTTCTAAAAAACTTAGTGTCAAACCAGGGAATATGTATAATACCTGAAAATGTTAGGGATTATGTATACTCCCTGCGAGAATGAAATATTAGATATATTCTCTGAAAATTTCAGGGAGTTAAAATATTCCCTGATTTGACATATTCCTTGTAACATAGATATTCAAAGGGTGGCCTTCTATCACATGTTATGTGTAAACTAGAAGGGTGGTCTTCTATTTCATTTTGTGTGTAAACTACCTACAAGGACGGCCTTAAGCTTCTATCCCATGTTGTGTATAAACTACAAGGGTGGGCTTCTATTTCATGTTGTGTGTAAACAACAAGGGTGGCCTTCTATGTCATGTTGTGTGTAAATTACAAGGGTGGCCTTCTATTTCATGTTGTGTGTAAACTCCAAGGGTGGCCTTCCATCTCATGTTATGTGTAAACTAGAAGGGTGGCCTTCTATTTCATTTTGTGTGTAAACTACCTACAAGGACGGCCTTAAGCTTCTATCCCATGCTGTGTATAAACTACAAGGGTGGGCTTCTATTTCATATTGTGTGTAAACTCCAAGGGTGGCCTTCTATTTCATGTTGTGTGTAACCAACAAGGGTGGCCTTCTGTTTCATGTTGTGTGTAAACTATGTTAGGGATTATGTATACTCCCTGCGAGAATGAAATATTAGATATAGTCTCTGAAAATTTCAGGGAGTTAAAATATTCCCTGATTTGACATATTCCTTGTAACATAGATATTCAAAGGGTGGCCTTCTATCACATGTTATGTGTAAACTAGAAGGGTGGTCTTCTATTTCATTTTGTGTGTAAACTACCTACAAGGACGGCCTTAAGCTTCTATCCCATGTTGTGTATAAACTACAAGGGTGGGCTTCTATTTCATGTTGTGTGTAAACAACAAGGGTGGCCTTCTATGTCATGTTGTGTGTAAATTACAAGGGTGGCCTTCTATTTCATGTTGTGTGTAAACTCCAAGGGTGGCCTTCTATTTCGTGTTGTGTGTAAACTCCAAGGGTGGCCTTCTATTTCATGTTGTGTGTAAACTACAAGGGTGGCCTTCTATTTCATTTTGTGTGTAAACTCCAAGGGTGGCCTTCTCTTTCATGTTGTGTGTGACCAACAAGGGTGGCCTTCTGTTTCATGTTGTGTGTAAATTACAAGGGCGGCCTTAAGCTTCTATCCCATGTTGTATATAAACCACAAGGGTGGCCTTCTATTTCATGTTGTGTACTATATAACATCAGTGTGCATGCAAAGGTTTTATACACAATGTTATGTATACAAGGATGGCTCATAAGGTTTAATGAGTGATAAGGTGTAAACACGATAATTTTAGAATTTAGGCACGCGAAACTGTCACAGTCATGTTTATGGTGAAACGTAGCCTTTTTTCTTTCTGGTAAACCTTAGCAATTTGATCATGAAATGTATCGACCAACTATTTTAAAAACAAAACAAATTGATGTTGTCCAGTGCCACATTAAATGTCATAGGAAAAATAACTAAATATATACAACTGGTCTCTGAATGTGGAGGAAAGTATAAAATCACATTATCTCCCAAACGGCTACTGCTTTATTCGTGCCCTAACTAGATGATTTTCAGACCGCTTCATCTCATTCATGTTACCCACCATGTTTCAATAAATATGTATATAACAAAAAGGATGAACTTAAAAGGAAAATAAATATAAATGTAGAAGTGTCTATAGTAAAATACTTAAAAACATATAATATATGTGTTGGTCACACCTCTATACCCGGCGTTCATTATATCCCCCACATGCTGTTAGATCATGTCAGACAGAAATATACTCAGAAACGTTATTTTGCAAAGATTAGTCTTAACGTTAGTGCTGCTGCCAAAGAGAAAAGTAAATGCCCACTGCTCAGAGGATTTAAAGAGGGTGTGAAGGTGTGCTAGTGATAGCTAGCGTCCAGTGTCTAGTTTTCCCCAGGGCTCCCAAGTAGGATGTTATTGTAAATGTCCGCTTTCTGCTATTTTATGCATAGAACATAGAGCGTCAAGATTATCATTTGGTCTCCATGGTCACCCAGATGTGTAAAGAAAACGCAAGAGTGACATGCAGCGTGCGATGATGACCACGGCCCGACAGATGTGAGCTGATGTCATACATGTAGAGATTACATCTAAAAGCCATGTTAACACCGCAGCCTGCTGGATGTGCATATGTGCGTAGAGGCTGAGATTCATGTTGTCATCGATGCCTGTTATTAGAGGTGTACGCGGGCGTAGAGGCTAATATTCAAGTTATCACGTTAGCCTGCTGGATATGCATATTGACGTAAAGGATCAGATCTACGTTGTCACCCAGGCCCGTTGGATGTGTACGCGTGCGTCGATGCTAATATTCATGTTATCACGTTAGCCTGCTGGATGTGCATATTGATATAGAGGCTGAAATTCATCTTGTCACCCAGGCCTGTTAGATGTGTACGCGTGCATAGATGCTAATATTCATGTTATCACGTTAGCCTGCTGGACATGTATATTGACATAGAGGCTGAGGTTAATCTTGTCACCCAGGCATGTTAGATGCGTACGCGTGCGTAGTGGCTAATGGTCATGTTGTCCTGCTGGATGTGCATATGCGCGGAAAAGGCTGATATTCCTGTTGCCCGATGGTCTGATAGAATGCATATGGGCGAATGGACTACTATTCATGTTGTCACCTTGGTTTGCCATTTGTGTACAGAGAGTGTTGGTAGTACCCAGGACCTGATGTGACAATCTTTACTGGCAAGTTCATTTGTCTCTCACCGACAGCCCTGTCTCTCCGCTGTCCTCTCTGTTGAAACCCTTCCCTGAACTTTTGTATGAACTGCAACGACAGGGCGATCTGTAGCACCCCCACCGCCATCAGAATAACCACTGCCAAGGCGCCGCCTACCAGATGGGGGGTAACAACTGACAGTGCAGAGGTGTGAAGGGATGTTGAACTCTCCGATCTCTCGTCCCGAGCAGGTGTGGTTGATGATGAATACGATATTGAGACAGGTGTAGTAGATGTTTCATCCGATGGTAAAGCAGTTGTAGTTGATGTTGGACCCGATGATGCAGGTGCAGTTGATATTGGATCTGATAATAAAGCAGATGCGATTGATGTTGGATCCGATAATAAAACAGGCGTGATTGTTGTTGGTTCTGATGACGGGGCAGGTGCAGTTGATGTTGGATCTGGTGATGTAGAAGGTGTGGTTGATGTGAGATCCGATGATGAAACAGGTGCAGTTGATGTTAGATCCGATGGTGAATCAGGTGTAGTTGATGTTCGGTCCGTTGATGAATCAGGTGTAGTTGACGTTGGATCCGATGATGAAGCAGTTGTAGTTGATGTTGGGTCCGTTGATGAATCAGGTGTAGTTGACGTTGGATCCGATGATGAAACAGGTGTAGTTGATATTGGATTTAATGATGAAGCAGATGTAGTTGATGTTGGGTCCGTTGATGAAGCAGTTGTAGTCGATGTTGGATCTGATGACGAATCAGCTGTAGTAGATGTTTGATCCGATGATGAAGCAGGTGTAGTAGATGTTGGATCCGAGGATGAAGCAGGTGTTGTTGATGTTAGATTCGATGATGAATCAGGTGTAGTTTGTGTTGGATCCGATAATGAAGCAGTTGTAGTTGATGTTGGATCCGATGATGAAACAGGTGTAGTAGATGTTTGATCCGAAGATGAAGCAGGTGAAGTTGATGTTGGGTCTGTTGATGAATCAGGTGTAGTTTGTGTTGGATCCGATGATGAAGCAGTTGTAGTTGATGTTGGATCCGATGATGAATCCGGTGTAGTTGATATTATTTCCGATAATAAAGCAGGTGTGTTTGATGTTGGATCTGATGACGAAGCAGGTGTAGTAGATATTGGATCCGATGATGAAATAGGTTTGCTAGATGTTGGATCGGATAATAAAGCAGGTGCAGTTGATGTTGGATCTGATGATGTAGAAGGTGTGGTTAATGTTTGATACGATGATGAAACAGGTGCAGTTGATGTTAGATCCGATGGTGAATCAGGTGTAGTTGACGTTGGATCCGATGATGAAACAGGTGTAGTTGATATTGGATTTGATGAGGAAGCAGATGTAGTTGATGTGAGATACGATGATGAAGCAGTTGTAGTTGATGTTGGGTCAGTTGATGAAGCAGTTGTAGTTGATGTTGGATCTGATGACGAATCAGGTGTAGTAGATGTTTGATCCGATGATGAAGCAGGTGTAGTAGATGTTCGATCCGACGATGAAGCAGGTGCGGTTGATTTTAGATCCGATGATGAAGCAGGTGTAGTAACTGTTTGATCCGAGGATGAAGCAGGTGCTGTTGATGTTGGGCCCGGTGATGATTCAGGTGTTGTTGATATTGGATTTGATGATGAAGCAGATGATGTTGATGTTGGATCTGATGATGTAGCAGGTTTAGTAGATGTTTGTTCCGATGATGAAGCAGATGTAGTTGATGTTGGATCCGATAATAAAGCAAGTGTGCTTGATGTTGGATCTGATGACGAAGCAGGTGTAGTAGATGTTGGATCCGGATATGTAGCAGTTGTAGTTGATAATGGATCTGATGATGAAGAAGGTGTAGTTGATGTTGGATTCGATAATAAAGCAGGTGTGGTTGATGTTGGATCCGATGATGAAGCAGGTGTGTTTGATGTTGGATCTGATGACGAAGCAGGTGTAGTAGATATTGGATCCGATGATGAAATAGGTTTGCTAGATGTTGGATCGGATAATAAAGCAGGTGCAGTTGATGTTGGATCTGATGATGTAGAAGGTGTGGTTAATGTTTGATACGATGATGAAACAGGTGCAGTTGATGTTAGATCCGATGGTGAATCAGGTGTAGTTGACGTTGGATCCGATGATGAAACAGGTGTAGTTGATATTGGATTTGATGAGGAAGCAGATGTAGTTGATGTGAGATACGATGATGAAGCAGTTGTAGTTAATGTTGGGTCAGTTGATGAAGCAGTTGTAGTTGATGTTGGATCTGATGACGAATCAGGTGTAGTAGATGTTTGATCCGATGATGAAGCAGGTGTAGTAGATGTTCGATCCGACGATGAAGCAGGTGCGGTTGATTTTAGATCCGATGATGAAGCAGGTGTAGTAACTGTTTGATCCGAGGATGAAGCAGGTGCTGTTGATGTTGGGCCCGGTGATGATTCAGGTGTTGTTGATATTGGATTTGATGATGAAGCAGATGATGTTGATGTTGGATCTGATGATGTAGCAGGTTTAGTAGATGTTTGTTCCGATGATGAAGGAGATGTAGTTGATGTTGGATCCGATAATAAAGCAAGTGTGCTTGATGTTGGATCTGATGACGAAGCAGGTGTAGTAGATGTTGGATCCGGATATGTAGCAGTTGTAGTTGATAATGGATCTGATGATGAAGAAGGTGTAGTTGATGTTGGATTCGATAATAAAGCAGGTGTGGTTGATGTTGGATCCGATGATGAAGCAGGTGTGCTTGATGTTGGATCCGATAATGAAGCAAGTGTGGTTGATGTTGGATCTGATGATGAAACTCGTGCAGTGGATGTTGGATCCGATGATGAAGAAACTGTAGTAGATGTTTGTTCCGATGATGAAGCAGATGTAGTTGATGTTGGATCCGATGTTGTAGGTGTGGTTGATGTTGGATCCGAGGATGAAGCAGGTGCAATTGATGTTAGATCCGATGATGAAGCAGGTGTGGTTGATGTTGGATTCGATAATAACGCAGGTGTGGATGATGTTGGATCTGATGACGAAGCAGGTGTAGTAGATGTTAGATCCGATGATGCAGCAGGTGCAGTTGATGTTTGATCCGATGAAGAAGCAGGTGCGGTTGATGTTACTTCCGATGATGAAGCAGTTGTAGTTGATGATGGATCCGATGATGAATCTGGTGTAGTTGATGTTGGATCCGATAAAAAAGGAGTCGTGGTTGATGTTGGATCTGATGACGAAGCAGGTGCAGTTGATGTTGGACCCGTTGATGAAGAAGTTTCAGTTAGTGTTGAATCCGATGATAAAGGATGTGTAGCTAATGTTGTAGATGTTGGATTTGATGTTGAAGCAGATGTAGATGGTGTTGGATCCGATGATGTAGAAGGTGTGGTTGATGTTTGATCCGATGATAAATCAGGTTCAGTTGATGTTAGATCCGATGATAAAGCAGTTGTAGTTGATGTTGGATCTGATGATGAAGCAGTTATAGATAGTGTTCGATCCGATGATGAATAAGGTGTTGTTGATGTTGAATCCGATAATAAAGCAGGCGTGGTTGATGTTGGATTTGATGACGAAGCAGGTTTAGTAGATGTTTGTTCTGATGATGAAGCAGATGTGGTTGATGTTGGATCAGGTGATGAAGCAGGTGCAGTTGATGTTGGATCCGATAATAAAGCAAGTGTGCTTGATGTTGGATCTGATGACGAAGCAGGTGTAGTAGATGTTGGATCCGGATATGTAGCAGTTGTAGTTGATGATGGATCTGATGATGAAGAAGGTGTAGTTGATCTTGGATTCGATAATAAAGCAGGTGTGGTTGATGTTGGATCCGAGGATGTAGAAGGTGTGCTTGATGTTGGATCCGATAATGAAGCAAGTGTGGTTGATGTTGGATCTGATGATGAAACTTGTGCAGTAGATGTTGGATCTGATGATGAGGAAACTGTAGTAGATGTTTGTTCCGATGATGAAGCAGATGTAGTTGATGTTGGATCCGATGATGTAGGTGTGGTTGATGTTGGATCCGATGATGAAGCAGGTGTAGTAGATCTAAAATCCGATGATGCAGCAGGTGCAGTTGATGTTTGATCCGATGAAGCAGGTGTGGATGATGTTTGATCTGATGACGAAGCAGGTGTAGTAGATGTAAAATCCGATGATGCAGCAGGTGCAGTTGATGTTTGATCCGATGATGAAGCAGGTGCGGTTGATGTTACATCCGATGATGAAGCAAGTGTAGTTGATGTTGGGTCCGATGATGAAGCAGTTGTAGTTGATGATGAATCCGATGATGAATCTGGTGTAGTTGATGTTGGATCCGATAAAAAAGCAGTCGTGGTTGATGTTGGATCTGATGACGAAGCAGGTGCAGTTGATATTGGACCCGTTGATGAAGAAGTTTCAGTTAGTGTTGAATCCGATGATAAAGGATGTGTAGCTAATGTTGTAGATGTTGGATTTGATGTTGAAGCAGATGTAGATGGTGTTTGATCCGATGATGAAGTAGTTGTAGTTGATGTTAGATCTGATGACGAAACAGGTATAGATAGTGTTCGATCCGATGATGAATTAGGTGTTGTTGATGTTGGATCCGATAATAAAGCAGACGTGGTTGATGTTGGATTTGATGAAGTAGCAGGTTTAGTAGATGTTTGTTCTGATGATAAAGCAGATGCAGTTGATGTTGGATCGGATGATGTAGAAGGTGTGGCTGATGTTGGATCCGATGATGATGCAGGTGCAGTTGATGTTACATCCGATGATGTAGCAGGTGAGGTTAGTGTCGGATCTGATGACAAAGCAGGTGCAGTTGATGATGGATCCGATGATGAATCAGGTGTAGCTGATGTTAGATCCGATGATGAAGCAGGTGCAGTTGATGTTAGATCCGATGTTGAAGAATGTGTAATTAGTGTTGGATCCGAGGATGAAGCATGTGCAGCTGATGTTAGGTCCGATGAAGCAGTTGTTGTTGATGTTGGCTCCGATGAAGCTGTTGTAGTTGAAGTTGGATCCGATAATAAAGCAGGTGTGGATGATGTTAGATCTGATGACAAATCAGGTGTAGTAGAAGTTAGATCGGATGATGTAGCAGGTGTGGTTGATGTTGGATCCGATGATGAAGCAGGTGTAGATAGTGTTGGATCCGATGATAGAGCAGGTATAGTTGATGTTGGGTCCCATGAAGCAGTTGTAGTTGATGATGGATTCGATGAAGAATCAGGTGTAGCTGATGTTGGATCCGATGATGAAGGAGGTGCAGTTGATGTTAGATCAGATGATGAAGAATGTGTAATTAGTGTTGGATCCGAGGATGAAGCATGTGTAGCTGGTGTTAGGTCCGATGAAGCAGCTGTTGTAGATGTTGGCTCCGATAACAAATCAGGTGTAGCTGATGTTAGATCCGATGATGAAGCGGGTTCAGTTGATGTTAGATCCGATGATGAAGAATGTGTAATTAGTGTTGGATCCGAGGATGAAGCATGTGCAGCTGATGTTAGGTCCGATGAAGCAGTTGTTGTAGATTTTGGCTCCGATAACAAATCAGGTGTAATTGATGTTGGATCTGATGATGAAGAAGGTGTAGTAGATGTTGGATCCGAGGGTGAATCAGGTGTAGTTGTTGTTAGATCCGATGATGAAGCAGGTTCAGTTGATGTTAGATCCGATGATGAAAAAGGTGTCATTGGTGTTGAATCCGAAGATGAACCATATGGAGCTGATGTTAGGTCCGATGAAGCAGTTGTTGTAGTTGTTGGCTCCGATAACAAATCAGGTGTAATTGATGTTGGATCTGATGATGAAGGAGGTGTAGTAGATGTTGGATCCGAGGGTGAATCAGGTGTGGTTGATGTTGGATCCGATAATAAAGCAGAAGTGGTTGATGGTGGATCTGATGACGAAGCAGATGTAGTAGATGTAAGATCCGGTGATGAAATAAGGGTATTTATTGTTGAAACCGATGATGAAGCAGGTGCAGTTGATGTTAGATCCGATGTTGAAGAATGTGTAATTAGTGTTGGATCCGAGGATGAAGCATGTGCAGCTGATGTTAGGTCCGATGAAGCAGTTGTTGTTGATGTTGGCTCCGATGAAGCTGTTGTAGTTGAAGTTGGATCCGATAATAAAGCAGGTGTGGATGATGTTAGATCTGATGACAAATCAGGTGTAGTAGAGGTTGGATCGGATGATGTAGCAGGTGTGGTTGATGTTAGATCCGATGATGAAGCAGGTGTAGATAGTGTTGGATCCGATGATAGAGCAGGTATAGTTGATGTTGGGTCCGATGAAGCAGTTGTAGTTGATGATGGATTCGATGAAGAATCAGGTGTAGCTGATGTTGGATCCGATGATGAAGCAGGTGCAGTTGATGTTAGATCAGATGATGAAGAATGTGTAATTAGTGTTGGATCCGAGGATGAAGCATGTGTAGCTGGTGTAAGGTCCGATGAAGCAGTTGTTGTAGATGTTGGCTCCGATAACAAATCAGGTGTAGCTGATGTTAGATCCGATGATGAAGCAGGTTCAGTTGATGTTAGATCCGATGATGAAGAATGTGTAATTAGTGTTGGATCCGAGGATGAAGCATGTGCAGCTGATGTTAGGTCCGATGAAGCAGTTGTTGTAGATTTTGGCTCCGATAACAAATCAGGTGTAATTGATGTTAGATCTGATGATGAAGAAGGTGTAGTAGATGTTGGATACGAGGGTGAATCAGGTGTAGTTGTTGTTAGATCCGATGATGAAGCAGGTTCAGTTGATGTTAGATCCGATGATGAAAAAGGTGTCATTGGTGTTGAATCCGAAGATGAACCATATGGAGCTGATGTTAGGTCCGATGAAGCAGTTGTTGTAGTTGTTGGCTCCGATAACAAATCAGGTGTAATTGATGTTGGATCTGATGATGAAGGAGGTGTAGTAGATGTTGGATCCGAGGGTGAATCAGGTGTAGTTGATGTTAGATCCGATGATGAAGCAGATGTGGTGGATGTTGGATCTGATGACGACGCAGGTGTAGTAGTTGTTGTATCCGATGATGAATCAGGTGTGGTTGATGTTGGATCCGATAATAAAGCAGAAGTGGTTGATGGTGGATCTGATGACGAAGCAGATGTAGTAGATGTAAGATCCGGTGATGAAATAAGGGTATTTATTGTTGAAACCGATGATGAAGCAGGTGCAGTTGATGTTAGATCCGATGTTGAAGAATGTGTAATTAGTGTTGGATCCGAGGATGAAGCATGTGCAGCTGATGTTAGGTCCGATGAAGCAGTTGTTGTTGATGTTGGCTCCGATGAAGCTGTTGTAGTTGAAGTTGGATCCGATAATAAAGCAGGTGTGGATGATGTTAGATCTGATGACAAATCAGGTGTAGTAGAGGTTGGATCCGATGATGTAGCAGGTGTGGTTGATGTTGGATCCGATGATGAAGCAGGTGTAGATAGTGTTGGATCCGATGATAGAGCAGGTATAGTTGATGTTGGGTCCCATGAAGCAGTTGTAGTTGATGATGGATTTGATGAAGAATCAGGTGTAGCTGATGTTGGATCCGATGATGAAGCAGGTGCAGTTGATGTTAGATCAGATGATGAAGAATGTGTAATTAGTGTTGGATCCGAGGATGAAGCATGTGTAGCTGGTGTTAGGTCCGATGAAGCAGTTGTTGTAGATGTTGGCTCCGATAACAAATCAGGTGTAGCTGATGTTAGATCCGATGACGAAGCAGGTTCAGTTGATGTTAGATCCGATGATGAAGAATGTGTAATTAGTGTTGGATCCGAGGATGAAGCATGTGCAGCTGATGTTAGGTCCGATGAAGCAGTTGTTGTAGATTTTGGCTCCGATAACAAATCAGGTGTAATTGATGTTGGATCTGATGATGAAGAAGGTGTAGTAGATGTTGGATCCGAGGGTGAATCAGGTGTAGTTGTTGTTAGATCCGATGATGAAGCAGGTTCAATTGATGTTAGATCCGATGATGAAAAAGGTGTCATTGGTGTTGAATCCGAAGATGAACCATATGGAGCTGATGTTAGGTCCGATGAAGCAGTTGTTGTAGTTGTTGGCTCCGATAACAAATCAGGTGTGGTTGATGTTGGATCTGATGATGAAGGAGGTGTAGTAGATGTTGGATCCGAGGGTGAATCAGGTGTAGTTGATGTTAGATCGGATGATGAAGCAGGTTCAGTTGATGTTAGATCGGATGATGAAGCAGGTTCAGTTGATGTTAGATCGGATGATGAAAAAGGTGTCATTGGTGTTGAATCCGAGGATGAACCATATGGAGCTGATGTTAGGTCCGATGAAGCAGTTGTTGTAGATGTTGGCTCCGCTGAAGCAGTTGTAGTTGAAGTTGGATCCGATAATAAAGCAGGTGTGGTTGATGTTGGATCTGATGACGAAGCAGGTTCAGTACATGTTGGATCCGAGGATGAATCAGGTGTAGTTGATGTTTCATCCGATAATAAAGCAGATGTGGTGGATGTTGGATCTGATGATGACGCAGGTGTAGTAGATGTTGTATCCGATGATAAATCAGGTGTGGTTGATGTTGGATCCGATAATAAAGCAGATGTGGTTGATGGTGGATCTGATGACGAAGCAGATGTAGTAGATGTAAGATCCGGTGATGAAATAAGGGTATTTATTGTTGAAACCGATGATGAACCAGGTGTTGTTGGTGTTGGATCCGATGATGAACCAGGTGTAGTAGATGTTGGATCCGATGATGAACCAGGTGTTGCAGATGTTGGATCCGATGATGAACCAGGTGAAGTAGATGTTGGATTCGATAAAGAAGCAGGTAGAATAGATGTTGGATCCGATCGTAAAGCAGGTGTAGTTGGTGTTATTTCCGATGATGAAGCAGTGGCGGTATTTGACGTGTAGGTTACAGTTAGTAGATCTGACAGCGAAGCAGGTGTAGATGATATCATATCTAACGGGGAGGTCTCTGTTACATATGTTATTGTATTTGACGGGGAAGTCTCTGTTACAGATGTTATTGTATTTGACGGGGAGGTCTCTGTTACGGATGTTATTGTATTTGACGGGGAGGTCTCTTTTACGGATGTTATTGTATTTGACGGAGAAGTCTCTGTTACAGATGTTATTGTATTTGACGGGGAGGTCTCTGTTACAGATGTTATTGTATTTGACGGGGAGGTCTCTGTTACAGATGTTATTGTATTTGACGGGGAGGTCTCTATTACGGATGTTATTGTATTTGACGGTGATGTCTCTGTTACAGATGTTAATGTATTTGACGGGGAGGTCTCTGTTACAGATGTTATTGTATTTGACGGGGAGGTCTCTATTACGGATGTTATTGTATTTGACAGGGAAGTCTCTGTTACAGATGTTATTGTATTTGACGGGGATGTCTCTTTTACGGATGTTATTGTATTTGACGGGGAGGTCTCTGTTACGGATGTTATTTTATTTGACGGAGAAGTCTCTGTTACAGATGTTATTGTATTTGACGGGGAAGTATCTGTTACAGATGTTAATGTATTTGACGGGGAGGTCTCTGTTACGGATGTTATTTTATTTGACGGGGAAGTCTCTGTTACAGATGTTATTGTATTTGACGGGGAGGTCTCTTTTACGGATGTTATTGTATTTGACGGGGAAGTCTCTGTTACAGATGTTATTGTATTTGACGGGGAGGTCTCTGTTAGAGATATTATTGTATTTGACGGGGAAGTCTCTGTTAGGGATGTTATAGTATTTGATGGAGAGGTCTCTGTTACAGATGTTTGATCTTGCAGTGAAGAAGATGCAGACGATTTTGTATCTGCGGGAGAGGTCACTGTTAACGATGACGTTGCATCTGACGGAGAGGCCACTGTCGTAGCCGATGAATCAGACGGTGAAGCAGTTATGGTCGTCGTTTCAGCTACTTCTGACGCGCGTATCGTCGTAGATGTGTCTGACAGTGAAAATGGCATAGAAAAGAAAAGTGATAACTCGGTCGGCGATTGAGAAAACAAATTAATCATAAATACTTGGAATAAGACATATTGGTAAAATTAATTTTGAAAAGTTGAATTATCAAAGGCACAGCATATATCACACAAGTCATCAAACGTCGCAAACGTGTAATGTGGACAATGAAATATATATCGTCTTAAACTAGATGTTGGACCTTGATAATATTTAAATGTGTTCAAAGATTATATAAATGTGTTGCAGGGAACCGGTAAATATATCGACTCATCCGACATCGACTTCAACCGGGTCAAATAGTGATAAATTAAAAAGGGTTTTGTCGGGATCATGAAGTTCGACAAGGCAAGCTTTCAATGTATGTACAAAGACACTCACGCCTTTATTTACATGAGATTACTCACTATTATAAGTATAAGAATCACCCATCATTTACCTACTCAAAATAATAATAATTATCATAATAATTATCATAACAAATGAAAGCTACTCGAATTTTACAAACTTTGCGAGATAATCACACATGATAAATACACGCATGTTTTTATCACTTCAGAAAGGGAGGGAAATGTTGTCAGCAATGTGTATACTGGTGTAGCACCTGAATGAGGCGTTGTATCGGAGATCGGGGACGTTGATGTAGACGTCAGTGATGTTGATGAAGTTGACTGCCTTGGAGTAATGTTGTCAGCGATTGTTGTTGGGGTTGTTGTGTCAGTAGTTCTCTGTGCAGAACCTGAAATTAGCGATATTGGTATTGAAATCAATAAGTCGTAACAAGATGCTTGGCAGAGGATGTTGCAGGGGTGGGCTTGGCGATGGGTGATGTTTGTTGTTTAACGCCGCTCTCAGCAATATTCAAGCTATATGACGGCGGTCTGTACATAATCGAGTCTGGACCAGACAATCCAGTGATTGGCATCATGGGCATCGTTCCACGCATCGTTTGTCGCCTCTTACGACACGCATAGTCACCTTTTACGGCAAGTATGGGTCGGCGAATTAGAGCGATGGCTGTGTCAGTATGGAGACTCTGTGGGAAGGAAAGATATTCCCTTTTCAGTCATGTCATGACAAAAATAAAAAAAATATGTTTAATATATATACGCAACCAAAAAAGCAGGTATGCACCACATTAAAGTGTTATTATGTATTGTTCCATACAACTGAAGCACGTGCTTTGTACCAGTGGGCCGGAAGTAGAATATGGAACACATAGGCCAAGGACACTATGCTTTCATCCGGGTTCACGATCACCGCTTTTAACAGTATTCTAGATATATCACGGCGTGTCAGCTTAATGTGGGAGGAAAGCCCGAAGTGATGCAGGTCTCAGACGTTTGCCACTTCGATGAAACCCATGAGCACGGGTATGGTGCTGACAAACCGAGAAACATAATTGGGGCGAACCGGGATTCGAACCCACAATCAGGTTTCTGGCCTGCCCAAGGGACGCAACTCTGCACAGCGAATCGCGGCGCCTTAGACGACTGGGCCACCCGTGTCCCCAACATTCTGTATGTGATGTATCCTACGTCACTGACTAGGCAACACTAACAGGTGGGATGTTCCAGTCATGCATGGGGGGCACGGGTGGCCCAGTCGTCTAAGGCACCGCGATTCGCTGTGCAGAGTTGCGTCCCTTGGGCACGCCAGAAACCTATGATTGTGGGTTCGAATCCCGGTTCGCCCCGATTATGTTTCTAGGTTTGTCAGCACCATACCCGTGTTCGTTGGTTTCACCGAAGTGGTAAACGTCTGAGACCTGCATCACTTCGGGCTTTCCTCCCACACTAAGCTGACACGCCGTGATATAACTGGAATAATGTTAAAAGCGGCGTAAAACCCAACTCACTCACTCACTCCAGTCATGCATGAGGACCTGTTCCATTTGTGTGAGGTCAAGTAATGGTTGAGGCTCTCTTTTCACACGTCTCAGGTCATCACGAATGTGTTTGATGTTACAAAGATCTGCCCAGCGCAGACTATTGACTGTCTGTGCCGGAAATTACCCGCTCGAGCAGTATAAGGACGGTAAGACTCGCGAAAGGCTACTTCCGGTACCAGTATTTCCGGTGACAAACCTTTACTCATAAACTAGTTTTGCTTTCGAAATGCGCGACCGCCAAAGCTTACTTTGCTAGACGGGACGAGACCACGCATGGTTGTCACCGCTGTTGACAGCCATCATTGTCGGCTAATTTCGAAATGATAATATCGGTGATTTGTCATTCCTGCAAAGTTTATCGGTTCCTGACAACTGACAATCATTGCAGTACTATCCTTTAGACATGTATTTTATTCGCTTCGGACAGTGTTGTTTTATTATTACGCCTTACGGAGGATGTGTTACGTGTTTCTGTGATTATTTATGAAGATGCAACTTCTAATAGGTAGGCCAAATTACCACAAGTATCTGACAGCATATGCATGAGCAGTATCATTGAAGCCTTGCTTTTTACAGTTGGACCAGGCATTAAATAAGGCAAGGTTTAGAGGTTAAAATTTGTAAAATCTATGCTATGAACTTGTAAACGTGAAATTTATTTTATTAAATTATATTCATGGACTCTTTAGTTATGAAAGTAATGAACCAGTCATGTTGTGAAACTTAAACTTAAATATGTATTGTTGGGTCATATTTACTCTCAAACACCTTCAAATTGTTTTTATTATATTTGTCAGTTAGAAGTAGAAAGTTATTTTTCAAATTATTTTTCTTTTTGAAGGAGACAGTTGGGTTTTGTGCATCGTAAAAAAAACATGTTGCGTAACTAATATATTTAGTTTCTATATCAAATATGAATAGATACAACAATGCAGATGTATTTTCCTTTGCACTTTTAGGCTTGCGCTAAAATTTAACTCTCATCCACATCTCCAGGATGACTGTATGGAAGTTCTTTGTTTCATTGGTAATCTGTTAGTAATCTGTTGTATTATCTGGGTATTTTTTTTACCGATGAACTGGAAATATATTATCATACATTCAATGTCAATTTATGATAAGTTATCCAATGTCAATTCAATATCAATCTTCAGACACATTTCTATTGTGTGGCATTATTCACACGTAAAAAAACAATAAATAAGCTTTAGATTAGTATAAAAGATACTGACTTGTGGTGTCAGGGAGGTGCACGGGAAGGATTTCGGAGTCAACTCGGAAGATGAATTTGCCAGCAACGCCAACGTTAGACAGTTTAGTAATGTTGATGAGTTCCTCAGACTTGGATCCCGGCAGCAGGTACGACTTCATCCCATCACCAGCTAAGAAGCCGCTCTGGAACGCACAATTAGCGGATATGTAGTCAGATATGTATACAGCCAGCTCAGATACACATTGTGAACGTCGCACAGTCAGCGACGTGTACAGCCATCTGAGATACACATTGTGAAGTCACAGAGTCAGATAAATAAGCAGCCAGCTTAGATACACTATGTGAACGTCACAAGTCAGATAGATATACCGCCAGCTTAGATACACAATGTGAACGTCACAAGTCAGATACACATACAGCCAGCTCAGATACACAATGTGAACGTCACAAGTCAGATAAATATACAGCCAGCTCAGATAGACAACGTAAACGTCACAAGTCAGATAAATATACAGCCAGCTTAGATACACAATGTGAACGTCACAAGTCAGATAAACATACAGTCAGCTCAGATAGACAATGTAAACGTCACAAGTCAGATAAATATACAGCCAGCTCAGAAACACAAAGCATTTAGTTGTATTTGAATTATTATGACACCCTGAATACAATCCGACCTCGGCAATGTCGGATAACTCCATTTTATGTACAGTGGGGTTAAGTCTTGTGTAATTTTCACGTCGATTTGCTGCACAAATAATACTGTAACATTAAATGCTGCACATTTCTCCAAACACGGATTGTCGTATCTCTCCCACTTTTGGAAGCGATCGTTCGACCATTGCGTTTATCTACGTTGCCCAGCTGCATCTATGGTGAACAACTCACCATACGCTTCCCTCACAAAAGTAACGTCGTCCAATTTACGACGTCATCAGGTTGGGGGCGCACGTTCTTCATTGTTCTGGGTAGTTCTTTACATCCCGCCATGATTAAGCTTCACTGTTGGTGAGTGCGTAATTCAGGAAGAGAAACTAAACCTACACCCCACCCCACCCCACCCCACCCCACCCCACCCCCACCAAGCCCCAAGCCCCAAGCCCCAAGCCCCAAGCCCCAAGCCCCAAGCCCCAGCCCCCAGCAGGGAGACAGTGCCAATGGTCTCACATGTTGCGCCCGGGTCATCCGCCTGACGTTTTGACTGTGCTGTTTGTTCCCCAGAACAGCGTCTGGTGACAAGAGTCAACCAATCGTCTCTGGACACTCCAAGTTGCTGTGCAGAGGAGCGTCAGTTCGTCGAGCGAGGATCCTCTAGTCTTGGATTCGAACCCCAGATTCACCCATATAGTGAACATTGTCATCACTATACCCATGCTTGGGGGCTTCAGCAAATGTGTAAACTGTTCCATAACTAGATTCGCGTTTTCCTCCCATTTTAACCTGACAGGCCGTGATATAGCTCAAATTCTGTTCACAGCGGTGTCTAACCGAACTCACTCACTCACAAGATAATCGACCATATTCATAACTGAACCTCCACATGCGTTTTATGCATTACTATTGTATCAACTATATATCTCATACTCTTTCAAACAGAACCAACTTACCTGTGTACGAACGGAGGGTTCTGTGCCTTCATATAGAGCCATAAAGTCAGAATTATCATACACCCATTCTATCCTTTCATAGAACAGTATCACGACTGACGCCGTGCCATCAGTTGCCATGGTGATCTGGAATGTGTCGACCTAAAGGAACATAAAAAGAAATGCGTAAAAACAATTGACTTATCAACTATTATAGCTAAAATGGATAGACTTATCATTAAACCGCCCGCATGTTACCAGAAACCAGCGGGCCACATTGTAACTTGATCATGCCCTCACATTGCTTTACGACGGGCCATTATCACACCCGTTGTTAGGTGAAGCCATAGGGTAGGGATAGGTGACGTCACGTTCAATAGTGACGTCATCTGGTTTGTTCTATGACGTTTCCATATTTGTAAAATTGGGTGAGTGACATTCATAATTATTGCAGTAAATAATTCAAAGCCGATATTGTTGTTTCTTGTTATTTTATAACAATTTCCATCCATTTTGCTATAATAACGGTAACGCTCTTTTTCAGGGCATTATCATTTGCAGAAGCCCGAGGTCTTTTCAACTGCCCTCCTTCGTCGGCCAGTTAATGGAAGACCTCGGGCTTCTGCAAATGATAATGCTCTGAAAAATAGCGTTACCCTTATATTATCACCGGCCCGTTTTTGTATTCGATGTTAACCAGTTACACCGGTCGTCTATATTTTGAGTTACTTGTTGAACCTCCTCCATAGGCTGCGCACAAATCTTAACCACAGTCGTCATCCTTTTAAGTGTTCTTTATTCAGACGCCATCGTGGGCTGTCAGTGCGCAATATTGCGAGACCCGGAAGAGGCTATGGTGATAAGTGAAAGTCTACATACTGTTCATTAAAACATTGGGATGGTCCAGAAACAGTGCAGAATTGCGTCCCTTAGACCTATGCCGGGGGTTCCAATCCCGGTTCGCCCTGACTATGTTAATAGGTTTGTCGGTACCATACCGTGGGTTTCACGAGGTACCTGCATCTACAAACCGCATGACTTCGCACCATCCTCTAACATCAAACTCACACGCCGCTATAACTGTCATAGTGTTCATGCCGGCGTCAAACCTAACACACTCACACTCCTGGGCAACTTGCCTTGTTGTCTTCTGACTTATATGTAGCAACATCGGCCCACGTCGCCAACAGTACCCAGGACGGCGTATAGTCTGCCGGGAACTCCTGGTATCGCCTGACGTCTTCGGCGACAGTTTGACGTAATGCTGAAGACGTACTGAGGACGTACCAGACGGATCCACTTACGGTTACATCAATGTCAGTGCACAGGCCACACACTGCTGGAGTATTTCCGGGATCAGAGGTTGTGTCTTGAAATGTTCCAGCCTTAATGAATGTCACAGAACCATCATTGTTCACCTGGAATGGAAAATTATCTCGTAAATTGACACATTGAAAAAAATAACATTAGTCCATTATATTCCTACAGAAGGGAATTTCTCTTACCTGTTCCAATGACACTGCAATATATACACCGACATTGTTAAAATCAAACTTGACAAAGCTTTGATTTAATACCATGAATTTGTGTATATTACACAACAAACACTGAGAAATAATTGTTTGTTTTTTTCATCCCGTGTGGCAGCGATAACCTTTAAGAAATGGGTTTTCAACTACGGCGCTGTATCTTTATTCAGGAACACCCATAAACCTATTGACGGGGACACATAAAGAAATAGGGCTGACTCTTGTTTTGTTCAGCTTAACAGGAGAGAGAATACCAGCACACTGCATTATGGCGGACCAATGATCGCAAACTCTATGTCTAGATTCTCTTTACAGATTACAAGATACTTGAACAGAATCTGGATAAACCTGCAATTTACAGAAGCTAGACTTTCACTACAACAGAAGGGCGCAACATGGATATATGAACACAAGACTAGACTTTCTCTACGACAGAAGGACGCAACACGGATACATGAACACAAGACTAGACTTTCACTACAACAGAAGGACGCAACACGGATATATAAACACAAGGCTAGACTTTCACTACAACAGAAGGACGCAACACGGATATATGAACACAAGGCTATACTTTCACTACAACAGAAGGACGCAACACGGATATATAAACACAAGGCTAGACTTTCACTACAACAGAAGGACGCAACACGGATATATAAACACAAGGCTAGACTTTCACTACAACAGAAGGACGCAACACGGATATATAAACACAAGGCTAGACTTTCACTACCACAGATGGATGCAACACGGATATATGAACACACGGCAAGACTTTCAATACGGCAGATGGATGCAACATGGATATATGAACACACGGCAAGACTTTCACTACCACAGATGGATGCAACACGAATATATGAACACACGGCAAGACTTTCACTACCACAGATGGATGCAACACGAATATATGAACACACGGCAAGACTTTCACTACGGCAGATGGATGCAACACGGATATATGAATACAAGACTAGACTTTCACTACCACAGATGGATGCAACACGGATATATGAACACACGGCAAGACTTGCACTACCACAGATGGATGCAACACGAATATATTAACACAAGACTTGACTTTCACTACAACAGAAGGACGCAACACGGATATATGAACACACGGCAAGACTTTCAGTACCACAGATGGATGCAACACGAATATATTAACACAAGACTAGACTTTCACTACAACAGAAGGACGCAACACGGATATATGAACACACGGCAAGACTTGCACTACAACAGATGGATGCAACACGAATATATTAACACAAGACTAGACTTTCACTACAACAGAAGGACGCAACACGGATATATGAACACACGGCAAGACTTGCACTACCACAGATCGATGCAACACGAATATATTAACACAAGACTAGACTTTCACTACAACAGAAGGACGCAACACGGATATATGAACACACGGCAAGACTTTCACTACCACAGATGGATGCAACACGAATATATGAACACACGGCTAGACTTTCACTAACACAGATGGATGCAACACGGATATATGAATACAAGACTAGACTTTCACTACAACAGATTGATGCAACACGGATATATGAATACAAGGCTAGACTTTCACTACAACAGAAGGACGCAACACGGATATATGAATACAAGACTAGATTTTCACTACCACAGATGGATGCAACACGGATATATGAACACACGGTAAGACTTGCACTACCACAAATGGATGCAACACGGATATATGAACACACGGCAAGACTTTCACTACCACAGATGGATGCAACACGGATATATGAACACACGGCAAGACCTTCACTACCACAGATTGATGCAACACGGATATATGAATACAAGACTAGACTTTCACTACCACAGATTGATGCAACACGGATATATGAACACACGGCAAGACTTTCACTGCCACAGATGGATGCAATACGGATATATGAACACACGGCAAGACTTTCACTACCACAGATGGATGAAACATGGATATATGAATACAAGACTAGCCTTTCACTACAACAGAAGTACGCAACACGGATATATGAATACAAGGCTAGACTTTCTCTTCGACAGAAAGATGCAACACGGATATATGAACACACGGCTAGACTTTCCCCACTACAGATGGATGCAACACGGATTATGAACACAAGACTAGACTTTCTCTTCAAAAGATACATGTAGATGCAATACGAATAAATGAAGATAAAGCGACAAAACCCTTTCCATATCCAATAGAAATCTCTGCATAGGCCAGAGTCGATTGTACGATACCAGGTGGTCGCGAAATGTGAGCGAATCCTGCCCAACCTGTGGCTTCCGTCACAAATACATGCAAAGGCAAGTCAAATGTTCATCTAAAAAAAACAAAGCTAGTCTGTCTCTACGACCGATGGATGCAACGCGGATATGTGAACACAAGCTAGACCTTCTCTACGGCTAGAAGAACCGACTCGTTGTCACAGTCATATCTGGTAATATATCATGTTGTACATATTGATATCTTCGTAGAAATGTTCAAACCTTTACATTACTTTTACTTATCCTCAGGCAAACACGAACTATTTGTCCACACCAAGACGTTGATTTAGTTAAACCTAACGATGTATGGAATTCCACTGGAGAGTTTACCTTTCTTAGCAAGTCCAAGGAATAACTCCTCTGCTGGTTCCATGTGCAGGACATTGTCGCAACGAGGTATATAGTAAGTGAAATGATAAAAGCTTTACATATGTTTGAGAAAGCGAAAAAACAAACCGATTTGAGCGATTTTGTCGTGACAGTGACCTTTGACCTTCTCGAGACATATGCCAAAGTAATTCTCTTGGTCCACGAGGGATAAGTTCATTTTATATATCGTCTGGTATCAATAACGTATTCAAGACATTACCTCAAGATTGACCTGAACTTGTGACCTAACTGTAGCTTTGACATAAATGACTTTTGATGTGGTCGAATTTTTAAGATACGCGCAAACTTGAAGTTCCATGCATGTAGATATGACCAAGCCTGAGACAGTTGCAATAATATAATTATGTTGTACGAAAACGTTAACGCTGAACTTGACCTAATCTAACCGACCTTGACGAATCGTGACCAATTGTTTTCTCCCACAGAAGCTTAAAAGCAAATACATAAATACGTGTTGAGAAGCTGCAACCACAAACATATTATCGTGACCTAGATGTTGTCATGCCATTTGCCAAGCTATTTCACAAGACCATTGGAAAGAATGACACCGATACTTGTTTCAATTTAGGAGAAAAATCACCGGCAGCTGCAGTAAAATTCCTAACGACAAATAGAAATAATGTAGTATATGTTGTGTATGTTGTCATTTGCATAAGACCCGTGAAAATCCGGGGTAGAATAGGTCTTCAGCAACCCATGTTTTCCGTAAAAGGCGACTGTGCTTGTCGTAAGAGGCGACTAACGGGATCGGGTGGTCAGGCTCGCTGACTTGGTTGACGCATGTTATCTATCTATTGCGTGGATCGAGGCTCATAATATCAATCACAGGATTGCCTGGTCCAGACTCGATTATAAACAGACCGCCGTCATAAAGTTGGAATAATGCTGAATGCAGCGTTAAACAACAAACAAACAAACAAATCACATGCATAAAATAAGAAATGCATAAATATACAGAGAGATAAAGGTTTGAAAAGAAAGATGAATTGCTAATAGAATTGCATGCAGAAAACAAACCCTCTTACTGGAAAGTTTTACTTTATGTTATGAAGAAATCTGCTTCAGCTAACAACATAGCCGCTCTGAAAAAGTATGATACGGACGAACATCCGACAATTTTTACTGATATTGAAAAGACAGAGATACCGAATAAATATTTTCAATCTATATTAGATGTCTATGATACAAGAACAACTATGCCCGACTTCACATTTCGTACAAAGACAGAGATGAACAACATAGTCATATCTAAAAAGGAAATTGAAGACATAATACAATGTTTGCCTCTGAACAAAGCCTCTGGACCGGATAAAATTTGTCATAAATTATTAAAGAAAACTGTATATTCTATAAGCGAAGCATTGTGTTTACTGTTCAATATGTCACTACAATCAAGTATATTTCCATCAGTGTGGAAAAAAGCAAACGTTATGCCATTATTTAAGAAAGGTGATCACACTATCGTTTCTAATTATAGACCGATATATATCACTCATTAGCTGTTTAGGAAAATTGTTTGAGAGAGTAGTGTTCAAACATTTATATAATTACTTTCATGAGAACAAATTGTTGTATAAGTACCAATCTGGGTTTCAGGCTGGTCACTCAACTGTCCATCAACTAATAGAACTTTACCACCAAATTTGTACAGCGCTAGATAACAAAGAAACCTATTGTATTGTATTCTGTGATGTATCAAAAGCCTTTGATCGTGTATGGCACAGTGGGCTTGTGTACAAATTAGAGAGGTATGGTATAAAAGGCCAATTGTTAAAATGGATTACCAGTTACATAAGTAATCGTAGCCAAAGCGTATTTGTGAATGGGGAAATATCCAAACCAAGATACATGAAGGCTGGCGTGCCACAGGGGTCCGTGCTTGGTCCTTTACTCTTTATTGTTTATGTAAATGACATTGCTGATAAATTAGACTGTATGACAAGACTGTTTGCCGACGATACATCGATTGGCATGTCATCCAATGATAACAGTGTACTGGAACGTTCCTTAAGCACAAATTTAGCAATCTTAAGTGAATGGGCGAAACTTTGGCTCATAACTTACAACCCCGAAAAGACTAAATCGGTTCTATTCTCTCGCAGAGACAACAATGGAGGTCTAAAATTATAATTCAACGGAAAAAAAATCAGCTCTGTAAACAGTCATAAGCTCGTGGGTGTTATGCTTGAAGCCAGTGGCAAATG